TTATGTGATCTCTCAAACAGACAATATTCAAATTGCTAACATTTTTTTGTTATAAAATTGTCACAAAATATCTAAATATGGACAAAAAATAATTTGGATAATTTTTGACCAAATTTCTAGCCAAAATTTGATCAAAAAGCTACGTAAATTACACAGTTGTGATAATAAATTATCCAAATTTTGGTCAAGAGCTAACCATATTATTTTTTTACTCATATTTATGTACCACGTAATAAGTTTAGGATATCGTTAGCAATTTAGATATTGTCTGCTTAAGAGACCACATAGAAACATATTCAATATTTTATGAATAAAAAATGATGCAATTAAAATATTGTGTATCAAAATGAAACAAATCTCATACTTTAAGTATCTTCCGTGCAATTAACCCTTTAATATTTCTTGTTGATTATTAATTTTGATCTGAAGTCAAAAAAGTAAAAAAGTGAGATGATAAAAATGAAGACTAATGTTATTTAAATTTAAAATTTAACCTAGTTTATTGATTTATTGATGAAATTTCAGTAGAATTATTGGATCAATAACAAGTTTTAACATTTGATGGAACCTACAATCAATCCAAGAACTATAGTGAATTATGTCAACAAATTAGGTCAATATGTCGTCAACCAACCAAGACCCATGGTTTTTTTTATAACTTCTTAAATCTTAGGATACAAAAAGCATTTTCATAAAACTTTGCGGGGTGTTATTATAATTTACTAAAGTTAAAACTGAAAAGATTGAATGCATTCCACCACAATGAATGTGACATTAATCTCCCACCTCCCACCAAAAAAAGTGAACCTGGCATTAATGAGAACAAAAAGCAGGCAACCAAATCAACACACCCAACTCAACCGACCAACACCCACGTAGTAGTTAGCACATTATCTATCTAAAACAAATATGCCTTTATTTTTACACTTTATTTATATTATATTATAAAAAGTAAATAATATCGTACAAAAAATAATAATTTAATAAGGATAAATTAGATTAAAAGATAATGAGTTACGAATCAATAGGGTCAAATTAGTTTCGATCTAGAAAATTGGAGATTGATTGTAACTTTTTAAAATCGATAGAAATTTTTTGTGTTGATTTCAAATTTTTATATTTAGTTGAGTTGTAATTTTGAGTTCGTTTAATTGTAACTTGGTCTTATTGAATTACCAACAAATTAGTGTGGTATAGTGACACTTAGTGCCTCCTTAGGAGTTTTGGAGTTTAAGGCCGGTAAGTATTATACCCCAAGTTCAATTCACGGGATAGCATACATGTCTTACTTACTGAGCAACGTCTGCAAGAATTTCCATAATTGGTAAGAGCTCAAACATTCAGTTGAAATTGAATATTTAATCGCTCTTTATACCTCTTATTGATTAGCAAAAAAGGAAGAATCTTGTTGAATCTCTAGCATACATTTTTCACAAGACTCACGCCTAGACTTCCGCCATTGATGCATGTCAATTACATGAGACACATTTCCTTTAGAACACCGAATAATGTTGACTTTCTTTAGCCTTTCAAGCTCCATAGTCTTCTCGTGTGGCCCGTGTGGTTATAATTTAGAACAGTTTTATTGTAATCTAATATTAATAGAGTAATGTTATATATACTTAAAAATTAGACTTGATAATTACAGTCATTAATTTCACTGTGAGTCTCAACATTTATTAAGACTCACTACCTAATCAATGATTGTGATTATCAAATTTAACTTAAAGCAATTGAATTGGAAGTAGTTCACCTGTCTAAATCCTCTAAAAATGGCTTTATGTGAGACTAAGGACTTGAATAAGACTTTAGAAAGGAAGCATATTGGCGAAATAGACGAGAAGGGAGGAGTGGTGAACAACTGGTAACGACTACTGGATAGGCGAAAGTACTAAGCCTAGAATCACTTTCAATAGCAAAAAAAAGTGCAAAAGTTCTGATATAAGAGACTACAAGAAAGATACTTAATAACCTAATATATTATATTACTAGTTATTTTTCATATCTGAAGGCACGGAATAATAAAAAAAAAGTTGTCAATAATAAACATATTTGTATTTACATCCAAAATTAAATTATAAAAATAGAGGAAAGATAAAAGAATTTAATCACTGATTGTAGTGAAGGCGAGCTGTTGTAGTGGAAAACAATGATGGTTGCGATGGACGACGACGATTAGTTGTAATAGTGGCAATGGTGATGGTGGCCGTGGGGCGGTAAGGGTGGTGGTGAGACAATGGCGATGGTGGTAAGGTGGCGGTAGTAGTGGTGGTGGTGGGGCAGTGGTCTGGGTGGTAGTGGTGGTGGTAGTTGTGGTGGTGGGGTGATGTTGATGGTGGTAGTTGTGATGGTGGTGGGGCAATGGGGGTGGTAGTGGTAGTGGTGAGACAGTTCTAAACACTATTTTGTAAAAAAATACCTTATGAAAAATTATAAGTTCTAGAAGCATTTTTAAAAGATTACTCCAAATACACCTTTAAGAGTCTATTTTCTCTATTAAATTTAGGGTACTAATATTAGACATGAGATTAATTTTAAAATAAAATTTTAAAAAAACTCAACCGCGAAAAATAAAAATTATTTTGTATATCTTTTAAAATTTAAATTGTATTATGATTTATTATATAGATTTCTATGTTTGATAAGTAGTGGATCTCGACATTAAATAGAATTTACTATCAATCAAATGACATAAACGTATTAAATCCCCAAACTAAATTAAAATAGTATTGATACACATTCGTCACATTCTATAAAAGTTAAATAGGCCAATATCACTTTGCACCTTAAAAGATTTTTAGGTTAAAATTCTCAAATTGTACCTTCAATTATATAAAATAAAAGTAACAATATAGTCTATCTTAATAAAATTGAGTATAAATTTTCGTGTATGATAGTTAAAAGAGAGTAATATACAAATAATTGAACAAAAAAATTGAAAAATATAAGACTAAAATGCAAAAAATTATTAGATAAAGCAATAGATTTTTTCTTTTAGACCACATTGTTATTTTTTGATATGTTTGAAGCGAAATTTTAAATTTTTAATCTTTCAGGATGTAAATTGAGAATCTGAATATATTTAAGGGTGCAAAGTATTATTCACCAAGTTAAAAAAAACAAAAAAAAATCTATGAAAGTATAAAGAAATCGCATTCATGGAAATAATTAGTTGGGTTATTATCAAGATAATTTAACTTTATTCTAAAAGGAGTTTGGGTCCTACAAAATGGAGAAGCCTTTTAATGTATGATAGGTAAATTTTGAGTAATATACAAATAATTGTGCATAAAATAAAAAATATAATACAAACAAAAAAAAATCAAATAGAGCAATAAATTTTGTGATTTGAATCACATTGTTATCTTTTTGTATGTTTGGGGTACAGTTTGAAAATTTTAATCTTTCAAGATGTAACTTGATAATTTGAATATTTTTCATGTATGCACTTGTGTCATTCACCCAATTTTAAAAAAACACACACACACACATCTACTAAAGTGAAAAGAAATCGCATTATTGGAAATAATTAATTTAACTTTATTGTGAAAAGGGTTTGGGTCTTATTAGGCCTGTCGGGTCTACTCTTAGTGAGTTCTTCGGTTATTAATTCATATCTAATGAGTCGTGTTATATCGGGTTCGTATCATGGATGAACCTTGTATAACCACCAATAGATTTTTGATTTAATGATACTCCTTGTCTTGTAAAAATTTTGTTTTCTTAAGATCAAGGGTTCAAATCTCCTTTTTCCCTCCCAAAAAAAAAAAAAATCTTGTATAACCGATATATAAACAAGTCGTGACGTTTATTTCTTTTAATTGGTTTCACTCATACCTAATTTGTTTATTGATCGTATCATATCGAGTTCACTCGTTTAGGAAACGGGTAACTTAAAAAACACTTAAACCCTCTAATTTTATATCATATTCGCATCATATTAACAAATCGTGTCTTATTTTAACAACCATAAGTTCTACAACATGGAGAAACGTTTTTGTTTTTTTTTTGTATAATCACTTACACACCTGGACCTACCAGTCTAATGTGAATTTCAAACCCTCCAATTACATTTTCTTCTTGGTGTGTTTAATCAGGGCTGCTATTTTAGCAACGGCAGAAAACATTAAAAATTGCCGTGTTATTCATAAAACGCATGATTTTTGTTTCAATTGTGAAAAATGGCATATGCACATTTGCCGTTTCTAATGGCATTTGAGATTTTATCTTTCATGGGTGATCATCACGCGTTTCAAAATGAGAGTGTAATAAGGCCTTCCTCGTGTGAAACAATGTTTCCTTTTTTTTTTGGTACATGAAACAATGTTTCCAGAAACCAAATCAACTACAAAGACTTTTCACTGCTTAACATCACCCTCCGGGGTCGGTTCTGGTTGGCCGTTTCGTCTTCATGTCAAAAAAGTCAACCTCCCCAGGTAGGAATCAGTAATAAAATAAAAGCAATACCAAATGCCACAATACATATCCACACCCTGTTTTACATCTATATATATATATATTCACATTCATATTCCGGAAAAAATATTCCTTACAACAGCTACACCATGTATCACGCTGACATGATTTATCTTACTGAAAAATACTATGTATGTAACTCAAATTTGTACATCAAATGAAAAGGATCATTGAATCAGTGAGTCCCATTTAAAAAAATTGATGAACCCTACTCATCCCATGGTCCTTTTATTTAGAATACAAATTTGAGTTCCGTAGTATGAGTATTTCTCTTTCCTTGGTAACCTTCTTCCACCACCCACCCACCCCAAAAAAAAAAACAAAAAAACACCCCTGAAGGTTTATTTATATACTCACATTCAAAACCTTCCTCCTCCCCACATAGATGTTCACATTCACATTCAAAAACTTCTTCCTCCCAACACCAACCCCTCCCCCAAGGTTTACATATAAATTCACATTCATATTCAGGACCTTCTTCCACCCCTTACTGCTTTTGAAACCACTACCAGGTTCGGTCCACCATGAAGCTTAACCACATGTGCTTCATTTTACCAGCAGAATCTGTTGAGATGGAGATGGTGGATCACAAGCAAGAGGTCCAAGACCATAGGCAAGCTAAGAAAGATTCATCTGAACGCCATTGTGGGGCTCGGATTCTTGGTTTCCTTAGTGAATTACTTCAGGGGTTCTTTGACTCAAAATGGGTGAGTTTTTGTCACCAAGAAGAACTGAAAAAACAACCCTCAGGCTTGTTCCAGGACATGGAAGGAGTCCAATTCTCAGAAAAGATTGGTGGCGACAATCCGAGGATATTCAGCTATGCTGAGCTCTACATAGGATCAAAGGGATTTTGTGAGGATGAAGTTCTTGGCAGTGGAGGGTTTGGGAAAGTGTACAGAGCAGTTTTACCTAGTGATGGAACAGTGGTTGCCGTGAAATGCTTGGCAGAGAGAGGAGAGCGGTTTGAGAAGACATTTGCGGCTGAGTTGGTGGCAGTGGCTCATCTCCGCCACCGGAACCTTGTCCGCCTCCGTGGATGGTGTGTTCATGAAGATCAGTTGCTTCTTGTCTATGACTACATGCCCAATCGGAGTCTTGATAGAATACTCTTCAAAAGACCAGAAAATATGGCGTCAACTACTCTTACTTGGGAGCGTCGAAGAAAGATTGTTAAAGGGTTGGCAGCTGCGTTGGTCTATCTCCATGAACAGTTGGAGACTCAAATCATACACCGAGATGTGAAGACGAGCAACGTGATGCTTGACTCTCACTATAACGCGCGGCTTGGTGATTTTGGCCTGGCTAGGTGGCTCGAACACGAACTTGAGTACCAAATTAGGACACCATCAATGAGGAATCACCAGTTTCGGTTAGCAGACACGACCAGAATTGGTGGAACAATTGGGTATCTACCACCGGAAAGCTTCCAAAAGCGAAGCATTGCCACTTCAAAATCTGATGTTTTCAGCTTTGGGATTGTGGTTCTAGAGGTTGTGTCAGGACGAAGAGCGGTGGACCTCACATACTCAGATGACCAGATCATTTTGCTTGATTGGATCAGAAGGCTTTCTGATGATGGGAGGCTTTTACAAGCAGGGGATACTAGGCTTCCAGATGGGTCTTACAAGCTTTCTGATATGGAACGGTTTGTTCATCTCGGTCTTCTCTGCACGCTTCAGGACCCACAATCCCGGCCTAACATGAAATGGGTTGTAGAAGCACTTTCTGGAAATATTCATGGCAAATTTCCGGATCTCCCATCATTTAAATCCCACCCGCAATACATTTCTTTGTCTTCCCCAACCAATAGTAGCACTAGCAACACAACCAACACGAGGTCCACCACCATCATCACCGCCAGCACCACCACCACAGCAGCTGCGTCCAATTCATCAGTCTTTTTCACTGCCACGGGAGAAACCATATATGCAAGTGCTGAAAGCGAAAATAGTGATGTCAGCTCTTCAAACAACAACCACCGCTATTCAGACAACAGCTACCGTCGATCAAACATTTTCCCTATGGTTGACACTCCGCATGAAATAGCCTTTAAGGAAATCATTTCTGCCACAAACAATTTCTCAGATTCTCGGAGAGTAGCAGAGCTAGACTTTGCAACTGCCTACCATGGCTTCCTTGAAAACCGCCACCACGTCCTGGTTAAGAGGCTAGGTATGAAGACCTGCCCTGCATTGCGGATGCGTTTCTCCAATGAACTTCAGAACTTAGGCAGGCTCCGCCACCGAAATCTGGTACAGCTCCGTGGATGGTGCACTGAGCAAGGTGAGATGCTAGTCATCTATGATTACTTGGCAAATCGTCTCCTAAGTCATCTCCTCTTCCATCATGATCAGAAGAACTGGCAATCCATGCTTAGCTGGCGCCATCGATACAACATAATCAAATCGCTTGCTTCTGCTGTTCAATATCTCCATGAGGAATGGGATGAGCAAGTTATTCACAGAAATATTACCTCATCTGCCATTATTGTCGATCCAGACATGAACCCAAGGCTCACTTCCTTTGCCCTTGCAGAATTCTTGACACGAAACGAACATGGCCATCACGTAGTTATTGACAAAAGTAAATCAGTTCGTGGAATTTTTGGTTACATGTCACCAGAGTATATGCAATCTGGTGAAGCAACGACAATGGCAGACGTATATAGCTTTGGTGTAGTGGTGCTAGAGGTGGTCAGTGGACAGATGGCTGTTGATTTTCGGCGGCCTGAGGTGCTTTTGGTGAAGAGAGTCCATGAATTCGAAGCACGAAAAAGGCCTTACAAGGAATTGGTAGATTGGAGGTTGGATGGAGAGTATGATCACAATGAAATGGTGAGGCTAATGAAAGTAGGAATGGCATGCATACGCACCAACTCAGAATTACGACCAAGCATGAGGCAGATTGTCAGCATACTCGACGGTTATGACAGATGCTTCATGGAAGAAGGACAAAAGAAGGAGAGGAGAGAAGATTGGAAACAAAGAAATGCTTCTTCTTTGTCAGTGATAAAGAGAATTCAAGCTCTAGGAATACAATGAAACTCACCAATGTAAAATGACAATGGCCTATAGGTAGCTAATGTACACTGGACTTCTTCAAATGACCCAAGGTTGCTTCTTATATTAGATAGTCCTTAGTTTTTTCTGTTTCCTTCTTGGGAGTCTGTAAACTGTTTAGGTTCTTGGAGTAATTAGCAAGAGAGAAGTATGCCTTGTGATGTATCTTTCTAGCGATTAGTAAAGTTATGGGTGTATCCATATTTTCAAGTCCATGAACAGAAGTTTCAGTAGTATATATGGAAGAAGAACAAAGTGGTAAAAATAACTTAACATTAACAAATCAAGTTGCTAAATATGACATATATCATCAACATTATAAACATGACACAATGCCAACTCTTAAAAATAAACTGCTGGATATACATACAACTGTATCAATCTGACCTCAACTCAGATGTTTTCCTTCCTTAGCTCTCTGTGCTCTGCTTAATGTCCTTCCACAGGAATTTCATCATCTGTATCAACCCCGACCCAATCAATCAAAGCAAAGAGGAATTCCCTGAAGCTGACCTTTCCGTTCCTGTCCCAGTCCATTTCTTCTGCATTTAATTGCAAGGAGCACCAAGTGAGGGCTAAAAGAGCTATTGCATAAAATACAACTACAAAATTAGTTAGAAACAGTGTGGCAAGTGAAGGTAATCCTGAATCGACTTCTTGTGATATGTGCAGGGGATTTCTCCCGAGGAGAAGCCTCGTTCAATGCCTTCATCATGTCTTTCTTGTTCAGCTTTCCATCACCATTTTTATCGAGAAACAAGAATGCTTCAATGATAGCATCAAAAGTGGCTTCAAGCTGCGGTGAACCCATCTTTGATGTCTGAAACAAATCCGAATGTCACCAAAAAAAGATGAGCATGTTTTACTTAACAAGTCAATTAAATAGAAATAAGAATATTAAGATTGTTGTAGATACAGAGTGGGAAGTCGTTGAAGTATCCACTAGGATATAAACAAGACAAAGAAGAACAATAAACTCATTAAACTGTATCCCAGCGCTCCCATCCATGTCACAGGAAAAGAAAAGATCATCAATTTCCTTTTGTGTAAGCTGAACTTGCAATTTCTTTAAGCATTTGTTGAGTTCCTCATGGTCAATAATTCCATTAGAATCTTCATCTGGATAGAAGCAAATCACAAAGAGAGACAGACATAAAGAGGGTAGTAAGCAGTTTGCAGTATCATCCATACCGACATTTTGGAGGACTTGAAAGATTAACTAACAAAAAGTAACCTCTCTTGAACTCACCATACTGTTCAAAAACACCTCTAATCTCTTTCAATTGCTCTTTGAACTGGGGGAACCTCAAGATTATGCTATTGACTGATCTGAAATTGCTATGTCCAGAAGCACTTTTCTTTACCTCAATAATTTTCCTTTCAAGCTTACTGTCTAATCTCATATACTTGTTTGGTGAATTACAACAACAGAGCATGCCTTCAAGTTTGTTGGGCAATGACTTCAGAGCAGAGCACAGGTCGGATTTGCCTTCAAAGTAACATGCCAGAAGAAACCAAATTTAAGCTCACTAAATAAGATCAAACTTAATTTACGATTTAAGTATCTCATCTCTTGTCCTAGTTATTTGATTAATTACTTTCCCAAGTCAATAACTCTAGCCAAATGGTATAACACATCGATGCACTTCTCTAACTCAAAATTAAGAATAGGAGTGCAAGCAATTATTTAAGTTCTGATGTTCTCTTTATGATTCTTGGATGTGTTTTTTTGTCAAAACTTTGGTAATGGTTAGTTCCGATCCCAAAACTGCTTCTGCAAGGTTGAAGGAAAACAAGCCTCAAGTTTTTATAAAATGTTGAGTGCATAGTTTGAGTGGTGGCAAAGAGCTATGTAAGGAGACATTATCTGATGTACCAAGGAAAAGAGAGGAAGAAAGACGCATTCTTTATGCATTTTAATCCTACATGATAGCCTCAAACTCTCCTTTTTCACTAGTTGTATTGCTCTTTCTTCTCATGTATTTCTCTGTGAATTTAAGCTTGCAACCCCAACAAATTTTCAATCGGAGGCCTGCCCTTCCAATCATTTCTCTTCCTACCCCAATTGATTTTCCTTCACAAAGAGAACTGAAAATTTGATCCTGATCTAGGAATCTTGCTGACTTAAACCCTTGTTCTGATCCGTGCAAACATGTTAATCATCCTTCAAAATATTTTCAAGAATTAAGTCCAATGGTTACACCGATCACAATTGAATAACTAGTCAAAGAAAATAACCATCCAACCTAGTATACCATTTGGTACCACAGCATCAGCCTATATTGAACTTCTCTGCACTTGGAAAGCTTCATGTTCTACTGATACCTTCTGTTTCTATTACATAATACAAAAGGTTGCATCCACAACCTTTTCAACAGACAAATTTCTCATGTAGGCAGTTGCGGATGCAACAAAAATTTGTTGTAGAAAGAGGCCTTCCCTTAATTTTATTTGTTGTATGGTTGTTCTCAAATCAAATGTGCTTCACTATTCTGATGAAAAGATATTTGTTTGGCATTTTGGTAGGTGAGTATGAATTTTGACTTCTTGTTTATGCAGCTCGAGATTTCCAGTATATTCCTAAGAAGATTGTATCAGATATAAGGAATTGAAAGCATTCATACCTCCATCCTAATAGATCCTATTAGGTTACTAGGTGGTCGAATGAATGGCAACTAACCCGGTATACAGAATGAACTGTTCATAACACTTTGATTAACTCAAACTATCTCAAAAAAGAGATCCCCAAGTTTAACAGCACCAAAACCTTAATGCATCCAAACCGTCTCAGTACCCAATTTCAAGTTTGTAAACTTGAACCAGAAAAATAATCAATCCAATGTTTGACTTTGAAGGTTATCTATCTGTACTCCTAGTTTATCTCAGTTTGAATTTTTTCCTCTCCTTGTAACTTATTTGTGTTAAATCATTAATATTGATTCAAACCCCAAAGGTCAAACTGAATTTGACAAGCAATTGAAACACAAAACAGCTGTATCTATATTTCAGCCACGACTTCCTAGTTTGAAACACCATGCCATGCAGTAATCCATAAAATCTGCTGAAACACCATGCCATGCAGTAACACATAAAATCAAGCTTAAGGATTGCTAATTTGGGAGTGGGTGGATCAAAATTTTGTTATGAAATGGTCAAAACAGCCGAAACATTTTCATTTTTAAAGAGATCAAAATAAATCGAAATTTCAATGTTTTAAGGTATTTTGCAATATTTCGAAATATTTCAAGATGTTTCTAATTTTGTAATATTTTGGTACGTGTGTCGGAATATTTTAGAAATAAATTCTTAAATTTTGTATCCGTTTTCATTCTATTTACAAAACAATTTTTTTTTTTGTTTCTTAGGCGAAGAAATAATTCACCCAAAAGATATTTTGATCATTAGTTCCAAGATCACATCAATGAATTACTTAAAAAACAGATTACACATAAGACTCTTCAAGCAGTCAGCAACCTACTTCTGTTATATATACAAACTTAGAAAGGAATCCAAGAGAAACATCATGAACTGTATTAATCACACAGACCTCTACAGATGATTGTTTACACTTCCATCATTAAGTGATAGTACTGGAGCTACACAGATAATGCAACCCACAATTTAATCGCAAAAAAAAAAACCAAGAATAGAGCTACTGAGGGGATAAGATGCACAGGAAAAAAAGACTTACCCAATGAAGGTTTCATGGCTTCGGGAGTGAGAAAGGACTAAATAGAGAGATGGTTGTTTAGTTATATGCCGTACAGTATATGAATGCATAAGTGTAGCATTGCGTAAAGGAGAGGAAAAGTTAAAGTGGGAAGAGAACGGGGTTCAGGCAAATTGGAGTGGAAATGCCATTATAAGTTTGAATACAAGTTTCTCTTTCTTTCCCAAGTGGAGATGCCATGATAGCTTTTGACTACAAGTCCTCACTCCTCCGGGGGCCCTCTTCTCTCTCTAAGATTAATGTTACACCGATTAAATTTTCGATCTAAATGACATGATAATTGATTATTTGTAATTTATATCGGGGTCAAATGACATCACAACAATCAAAAAAGTCCAAGTCAACTGTCATGTTATTTAGGTTTTAAATTTAATCATAAAATTTGGTCAGTTTAAAATTACTGTTTAATAAAGTGACTTTAATAGAACTATTGAAGTAGTAGTGAGTTTTAATGTTAAATATAATTTATAATTAATTTAATGGTTATACATTATTAGATTTTTAAATTAAATCCTTAAATTAGATTCAAGTAACATTTTTCGTAACTAAATAAATAACTCTCCACTTTTCTTCCATATAAATTCAAGTGGAGTTCAACTTATTCATTTAAAGTTTTATTATTAGTTGATAATACTATGTCATCAATGGTGATATAGTATCATCGTAGGAGCAATACTATTGAGACCTAAAAATCTGACATAATTTACTGACCTAATTCACTGTAATCTTTAGATTAGTTGTAGACCCCATCAAACATTGAAATTTGGTGTTGATCAAATAATTCTTATTAAGTCACATCATTATGTCAGTAAATTAAGTCAAATTTTTAAGTCCAAATAACATTACTTTTCACGGTAGTATTCAATATTTACTCCACACGCACACCACATAACTCTACTGTAGAGTAAATATTGAATGTAGCAGTGATATTATATTATCATTGATGATACGATATTATTAATCAATAATAAAATTTCAAGTGAGTAAGGTGAACCCCACTTAAACTTACACGAAGGAGGAGTGAAAATTTATTTGTTTACATGACAAAATGATTATTAATTTTTGTAGATTTATTTATTTATTTATTTTAATATTATTGATAAGTGATACCACATCACATTATCATGTTTGGGATTCTATCTTCAATGGAGGGGGAGATTAAGAGATGAAAATTATAGATGCAAATCAAGATTAGTAGAAAATTTATATAAAATTAATGATTTTAAATTTTTGCTGTTAAAGCTTGTTTGAGTGATAAACAATTGGTCTTACCAAATCCTTCTAATAAATAGTTCAACATTAACTCCATTAAATATGATTTATAAAAGACACTAACAACCGATTGGACATATACTCTGCTATACAGGATTTGTTATGCATAAAATAAATATGGAAAAATTTCAGCAACAGCCCTTTTAGTTTATTATATCTTCAACGACGCCTTCTCTATTTTTTAAATCTTCAGTGACATCCTCTTTTAGATTAAATATGTTAATTAGAATATAATTTTACTAAATTACTTATGATATATTTTAAAAAAACTTCATCTACACCCTTTCTAGATAGGCATATCTTCAATGAAATCTCCTCTATTTTTTAAATTTTCTTACGTATTAAAATTTGATTCGAGTTAATTAAAATTTATTTTTTATGTATTAAAATTTAAGTCAATTTAAAATTATATATTTTTATGTATTAAAATTTGATCTAATTAAAATTCTATTGGAGGCTTAAATCAAATTTTAATCAACTCGCATTAAATTTTATCAACCCTATTTTTCATACATTAAGAAACAAAAATTTTAATTGACTCAAAAAATAAATTTTAATCAACTTGAATCAAATTTTAATAAATAAAAATACATAAATTTAAATCGGGGGCTAACAACTCAAGTAGAGCTCAAATTTTAATGCTTAAATTTTTTTTTAATAAGCTCAAATTATAATACGTAAAAACATAAAATTTAATCAGATTGAATCAAAGTTTAATTGACTTAAATTTTAATATGTAGAAAAAAAATTAATCAGCTCAAATTTTAATATGTTAAAAAATAAATTTAATCAGTTTGAATTTTAATCTAATTTTATGTAAAAAAAATTGTTTGAAATTTATGTAAGGACAATTTTGGTATTTGAGATCATTTATTTTTGTTATAAATTGCGGTTTAATGACAGAGGACGTCAGTGATGTTTAAATATAAACTAGAAGGAGTGTCAGTGATTTTTTTATAATAAAGGAGGTATCGTTGAAAATATGATAAATTAGAAGAGATGTGGTTGAAATTTTTTCAATAAATATAAGTTGAATAAATTTAGATAAAATATAATTTATTTAATTTAAAATTACAAAGGTACACAATCCATTGACATATTGTATGACAAACAATTTTTTTTTTTTTTGGTTCACCGATGAAGTATGTTCGGGTTAGGTTACATGTATCTCGACTAATTCACTTTTTAGTTCAGTTAAAGACAAGTTATCTACTTTGAAACTAAAGTATTTATGACAAAGTATTTATGACAGATAAAATCTTCATAATTTAATTTCAAAGAGTTACCAAAATTTAAAATCAGGGTGTCTTTTTATTACCACGTTTTTTTATCAGACTTCTTATTACCACTTGAGCAACTTGGGTTTGTACGGCAAACAATTTGCATGCAATTTTAATGCAAAAAACATACTGGGTCTAAATATTGGACATTGCTTGATGCTAATATGAGGCTTTAGCTTGTTGGCTCTTGATGGGCTTTTCCAATAACCCAATGAAGGCCCCGCCATCTCTCCCGAGAATAATGACTGGGTTTTTAAGTTGTGGGTACAATTTTTTAAATTCATTTGAGAAAAAATATATGAATTAATTATTTACTCTATTAAGTTTAATTTTAATAAAATATATTTTATTTAGGTACAAAATTCAAATAAAATCAAAACTATTTTACCTAAATACTTTCCCTTTAAATTATATATTCTTGATTGACAGTTATATTTTATCTCTATCTCTCTCTTTCCCCATCTCTCCACTATTTTCTCTCTATATTTATCATTGATAATTTATTTTCTTTTTAGATATGTAAAGATTTGATTTATTTTTTCATCTATTTCTCCTATTTTTTTTCTCTCTCTCTCCTCTTATCACTACAACAAAAATTATTTTTTTTGACGATTTTTTTTGCAAAGTTTTTTTTCGTAGCAAAAATGAACTTTCTGCGACGATTTAATAATTTTGTCACAAAAACTGATTTTGGCAAAATTTTTTGCGATTTAAAAAACGTCGCGAAAAGGTATTTTCCACCAAATTTTTTTTGGCACAAGAAAAATGGCGGGAGTTGATATTTTTTGCGACAAATTTGTTTGTCGCAGATAGTTTACTTCGTCATAAAAAAAATATTAAAAAATAAAAAATAAAAAAAAATTCAAAATATTTAATTCGCAACATTTAATATTATCGTCATCGAATATAAACTTTAATTAATATTAATTTGTGACGTTTTTAAATATTTTGTCTGGAGTATTTATTTTTTCGCGACGTTTTTATAAATTCGTCGCAGAATATAATTTTTTTATTAAATACCATTATTATTTCGCAACGTTTTAATATTCATCGAAAATTAGAATTTAATTTTCAATTAGAATTAAAATATTAATTGCGGCGTTTTTTTTTTTCGTCGCAAAAAATAAATTTTCTGCGACGATTTCATATTTTTGTCGCAAATAGTGTATTTGGCAATTTTTTTGCGACGATTTTAGAAAATGTCGTGAAAAGGTGATTCGCACCAAAAATTTTTGGCGCGAGAAAAGGACATGAATAGGTGTTTTTGCGCGACGTTTTTAGAAAGTCGTCACAGAATATAAATTTTATTTTATATTAAATAAAATTATTAATTATATTCAATTTTAAATTATAAATTAGAATTAAAATATGAATCGTGACCTTTTTTGATTCGTCGCAAAAAATTAATTTTTCACGACGATTTTATATTTTTGTCGCAAATAGTATATTTGACATTTTTTGCAACGTTTGTTAGAAAACGTCGTGAAAATGTGATTCCCACAAAAAAAAATTTTGCGTGAGAAAGGTCTGGAATAGGTATTTTTTTGCGACGTTTTTATAAATTCGTCGCAGAATATAATTTTTATTTTATATTAAATAAAATTATTATTATTTTTAAATTTTAAATTTGAATTAAAATATTAATTGCGACGTTTTTTTTTTGTCACAAAAAATGAACTTTGCGCGACGATTTTATATTTTTGTCGCAAATAGTTTATTTGGCAATTTTTTGCGATGTTTTTAGAAAACATTGCGAAATGGTGATTCCCACCAAAATTTATTGGGCATGTGGAGCAGTGAAGTTTATAACTACCTCATAATTTCCAGTACTTCATAATTTCTAATCAAGAGGTTAGATCAATTCAACTTACACAGATAAACAAACATGTTAAGATCTAGAACAATGTAAGTAACAAGTTCACTCCACTAATGAACCAGTTTGTACGCATCATTTCTTTGACAGCCGACTTGAATATGATCAATTGAAACTAAACTTTTGACTCTCAAATTTGATTTTCCGGGTAAGCATGCATTCTATTGCCTAACTTTAACGTTAACATGAACTATGTGAGTATTAAACATTGTTACAGCGCCTTGGAGTAAGTAAGGCATTACCTTACATCTACTCTAGCTTATAATATCCAGAGTCTAGTTATCATATCATTGAGACTTTTCTACTATAGTCCTCTCACAGTGGTTAGTTTTGTATCAGGATCAGTCCAGGATTCCTATTGCTCGGAGGAGGAAGGTTATGTGTGGTGGTCAGTTTGATTATGTAGATCCTGGATACTGTTGAGCTTGAAGATGATATTTCAATGCATGGAGTTGGACTACTGGACCGGTTCAAGTTTAAGAGACATTAAATATAATTAGAGATGGTTTAAATTCTCTTAAAGGATTAAAGTTATTTTTTCTATTTTTAGAACTTTTTGTTCTTTGATTCTTGTAATTCATTCTTTTTGGAAATAAAATTTTGTTTTCTTTTTTAAAAAGATGTTAAATGTATTAATTATGTTAGTTTTTATTGAACACAGGTATTATTGGTGTACAGG